TCTGGGCAACCTGTTGCAGTGTCTCACCACCACTGGAATTGGGGTAAAGTCTCATTCTCTTGTGTGGTCGATTCATTCACCTTCCTTCAGGTTTACAGTGCCTTGGTTGCTCTATTAACTCCTACTGCTGATGCTTCTCCATTCCATGTACATCTTCCTGTGAAACACTTGGGGAGTCTAAGCCACTGGAGGAGTACTAGGATGTCTTGTATCAAATATTAGTTGCATTAATTATAACAAGCAACTAATAGGATTTGAAGAGAGCTGCTGTCTGACAAAGTCAGTGTGTGTGTGCTTCCATTGATGGTCTTGTTTTAGAAGAAGTTGTGAGCTTTCCCAAGAACTAAATTGCTATGTTGAGTTCTGTTCCTGTGCAGTTTCTTAGCTTTAGGGTAGAAACAAATACACACCGTCTTCTGGGGGAAGGGAAGAGTTACTCATTTGTTTTATTAATTTATTGCAACCAAAGTCCTCCAACGTTATCCGCATACAGCTATTGAATGTAGTGCAGTGTTGTCCTAATGATCTTGAAGGTGAACTGTAGTAGAGCTTGCTGGGTTTTATTGGAGCATATAATGAAATTTGCCTTCACATGAACCTAATGGAGGCATTTGGGTGATACTCTTGTTTTCCCTGTCAGGAAAACACGTACAGTACACCTGGGTGAAGGCCTAGGTCTTCTGATGGTGGGCTTTTTCAGCTTGAGAATAAGCCTGGGCTACTTCTGTTCATACAGGTTAGAAATGCTCGCAGAAGTCTCTGATGAAATTGTGGATGAAGAGGAAGGTGGCATTAAGCAGGCAGTAGAAGGCAACTGTACTGATGACACGGGGTTACTCACTGATGCACCAGAAACAAATGAAGACAAGGACAGAGAGAACAGCGATGAAAGCCAGCAAGCTGCTGTAACGCTAACACTGGTGAGTATGTTAAAATACGCGTTCCCACAGTATCTTACTGTGTCTCAGGATCTATTTCTGGGCAGTTAATGTAGAAGTCTGCTGCATCCGAGAATTTACAGTTTGATGTGGCCTTTGCTGTAGCACTTGTCAGTATGTACTTTTTAAAGAAATCAGTGTGGCTGCTTCTGAACTATGAAGAGGGCATTTAACAGACGTGCTAGGCAGAACTTCTAAGTCAAAGACAATTAACTAAAAATGTCTATCTTCACTTTTTTGTGGCATAGGGAGAATATTCAAAATACAAGTGCAGCTCAGTAGCTTCAACTTGTGCATATTTAAAATATTTCTGCACATCTGTTTCATTGTTCCCTTTTTTTTCTGATTCATCTGATAAAAGGGGGAAAAACAGAACAGAGGACAAGATCTTTAAACCAATGAGGGGATTTCCTTAGTTCTTCCCTTTATTTTAGGGTGTGAAATACAAAAACTGGCCTAGCAGAGGAGAGGAGGAAAGATTAATGAACAGAAAATTCCAAAATGTGTATTAAACTGTGTACTACTGAACTACCCACACACTGCACATAACAAATTCTAATTCCATGCTTTTGTTAACTGTTCACTTTAAATTATATTCCACCTTTCTGAATGCACTTTTAGTATATTTTTAGTAAACATATCCCTAACATGGTAGCACATACTCTAGAAATAAAATTTTTTAGAACACCTTTCTTCATTTTAGTGAAAACACTGTTGCTTTCATTAAACCCACAGGTTCTGTAAAATCGCAAAGGTAAAAAGGCAAAAAATGACACGTTGTGCCTTCAAGTTAGTGACAATACAAAAGTTGAACACCTCAGTGGACTTGCTGGAAACTGTAGTTAACTTCCAATTAAAGTGGCAAGATGCCAAATGAGCTGAGGCCATGGTATTACAAGTCTGACAGTCTGCTGGGTAGCGAGCAAATACAGATCAAAGCCCTAACTCGGCCAGGGGAGACATCAAGGGCAACATCTGAAGGTTAGGCACGCACACAAGCGTTTTGCCAAGCCTGGGCTGGACAGTGAGTGAAGGACATAGCAGACCTCATTGTGAAGCCAGCCACAGGACAGATCTTCATGTGGCAGGTCCTCTCAGGGTTGCAGTTGTGTGATTTAGGTCACTGTATTTGTCACACACACATTGAAAACCATGAAACTCATTAAGAAACCAGAGTTGAAGAAAATGCCCCAGTGCACATCAGTAACATCAGATGTACCAGCTGCTGCAGTGCTTGTTCTAGCCGGGCTGTCAAGATGATTGCTGCACGTAAGCACAGTCTGTGCCACCTACGGGGTTGCTGGCACCTGAGGCTCCCTGTGGCACCCATGGGGCACCTATAGTAGGCAGCGGGCCCTTCTGAGGGACAGCAGCCAGCAGTGTCTTTTCCTTGGGTTGACAAGGGAGTGCAGATTGCCATAAAGCCACCCCACTGCTGGGGTTTGGGGGACATACAACAGTATGTCTGGAAGAACCTGGGCAATGTAACTTTCCCAGCTGCCCCTTTCAGTGTGCATAGGCACCATCTCTAGCATGGCAGAACATTGCTGTTCTGCAAATGCAGAACAAAATAAATATAAATACACAATAATAATAATGTCTGCAAATGGCAAAGCAAAACACTTGTTGCACCATGGTTGCATCAGGCTATCTGCAGGGCAGCAAAGGCCTCTCTGCAAAAGATTTGGTTTTATTTGGATACAAAGACTACTTTCAAAGGCTCCCCACACACTGTCAAGCCTTGCAGGGATTTTGTGTTTCCTTACTTAGCATAGCTTCTCTGTACGTGCAGGGTGCTTTCTGCTGCTGCTCTTTTTCCATCTGCTGCAAGGTAACAACAATGCTTGTAAAATCCAAAGGCACAAAAACTATGTAGTGGCATGTGTCTGGACGGTAAGAACGGTAGTTGTTATAAACTAAATTCCTTTTCATAGGTCGATAAAGAGACTAACACTGAGGAATCGGTTAACAAAAACGCAACAGTCCGACCCAAGGACAGAGCCAGCTGGAGCTCAAGACAGCGTCCTTTTGTCAGGAACAGCATGATAGTGCGCTCGCAAACCTTCTCTCCAGGCGAGCGGAACCAATACATCTGTAGGGTAAGAGGAAAAACACTTGAAATGAAGAGCTATTAACTAAAGAGTCATTTAACTTCTTGGGAATGATGCATTAATGACAGTGAGTCATGTACCAATTTTCCCTGCAAGAGGCAGAGCCTGTGCTTTCTCTAGGTTCTTTCTTTCCCT